GACTCGTCGAGTAGCAGCGGGCCAGGACACGTCAATTAATGAGTGACTCGTCGATTCGGCATGAGGGATTCGACGAGTAGCAGCTGGCAGTGGAAACCCTAATTTTCAGGGTTTTTGCACCCTATATATTGGACCATTAGCGCCTCCCACTGTCCTCTATCACCCCTTGAGAGCCAGAAACCCTAATTTCCGTGAGTGAGAGCTTGGAGAGTGTTTTGGAGCTTTGAGAAGTGACTTTTGTGAAGGAAACTTGTAGATCAAGAGGCTAGCATCAAGGTTTTGTGTGGATCCAGAGTCTTCTTCAGCTTGGACACGTTTTGGGAGGTGGTGGAGTTCGTGTTGGTAATCCAGGAGTTGAGCTTTCTAGTTTCAGACGATAGTTGCAAGGTGAGTTATCCTAACTATACTAAGGGGTCTAAGGCACCAAGGCCGGCCCATTATATATGTTGTCCTAGCAGTGGTTATGTTGAGTATCAATTAGTGTTGCATGCTAGTGGTTATGCCAGTTAGGTAGATCTGTAGGACTACCTATGATGTTATATGATTATTGCATGCTCAGTAGTTATGTTATATGTTATGTGGGATGGGTTGAGGTTGTACTGCTCCGTGCGGTAGCCAACAAACCCTAGAGTATTCCAGATATGAGTTGAGGGCCAGGCAAGGCATTCCAGACTCATACTGAGGACTCGAGAGCATTCCAGATACGAGCTGAGGGCCCAGTAGGCATTCCAGACTCGTACTGAGGGCTCGATGGTATTCCAGATACGAGCTGAGGGCCCGGTAGGCATTCCAGACTCGTACTGAGGGCCCAGGGGTAATCCAGCTTGTAAAGATGTGGACCCATTACATGTTGTTCAGTTTGTTATGATATATTTATGTGGACTGTATGTGTATCGGTATTTTGGGGGAGCTCACTAAGCTTTCGGGCTTACAGTTTCAGTTTATTGTTTATGGTACATCAGGGGATCGCGGCAAGGCGAAGGCGTGATCGTACAGCTCCTCATGTTTTGTCTATGTTTTTGGGAAAACTCTGATATTATACATTTTGAAAACAAAGTTGTAATGATTTTAATGCTTTGAAATGTTTTTTTTTAAGTTTAAATTGGTCTGAATTTTTGGATGTTACAATCTAGGTTTAATGGTTGCTGATTTGGAATTGGCGATGAATATTGAGGTTATGATTTGAATAGTTAATTGATAATTAGTGGTAAAGTTTGTGATGGTTGTCAATTTGATCGATTTCTTAAGATCTAGTTTACATAGCTTGATGATCTGAATTTGTCGATTTGATGATTAACGTTGCTAAAACGGGGAAAAAGAAAAGCATTTTGCCATGTTCGTTCATGTCTTTTTCACCTATCGAACTCGTATTTATGTTTGAATTCAACAATTTTTTCCTTGGTATCTCTTTTTATATGGAGATGGGGTGAAAGAGAATGGGTAGGGAGAGAGACATATTACTGGTGTCCAGTGGTATCACCGGCGATGAGAGGGGTCAATAAGAGATGTACGTGACAGAGAATGGGTGGGCCCCTAAGTAATTGACTATATTTTAATAGCAAATAAATAATGAAAAAAATTAAAAATAGTTGTAAGGGCGAAGTAGTAAATTTACGTCTACCAAAGACTAAATGCGAAACAAAAACAAAACTTAGGGATGGTCCGGGTTGAAAAAATAAGTTAGGACCAAACATGTAAATTACTCCAAACCACAGGGACCATCCATGTAATTTACTCCGAATTAAATCTATTTTCTAGTTTATTAATTGACAAAACTTCAAAAATAATCCCTATGGTTTCCGAAAATGTGAAGTTTAGTCCCTAATTTATAAAAACCTCACAGATGGTCCCTGTGGTTTCAAAACTTTTAACAAATGGTCATTTTCGTTAACTTCGTTAGCTTTTGGCCGTTAAGTGAATGACATTTCTGTCATTTCACTACCACAGGGACCATTTATGAATTTTTTTGTTATTTAAAAAAAATAAAAGAAAATATAATTATTTAATCTCTCTCTCTCACACTCTCATCCCCATGGTCTTCTTCTTTGTATTCACCTGTAAAACTTAAACCACATAGACATATTTCATACACATACACACTTGAAGGACCTTCACAAAGCCACCGATTTAACACAATGAATCTTTATTTAAACCCAAGATTACAAGTTCGTCAGCAAAACAATGTTCATCAAGAATAGAATGACGAAACATCATCTCCAAAAATATTTATATGAATCCACGATTACAGTAACAAAAACAGGGGAACTAACTTTAAAATGAATCACGAAAATGATTTCTTGGCTACTCAAAATATATTTATCTGCACTAGGTTTGATTTGTGCTCAAGCATTTCAACAAACACATAGTGTGCACGAGTTATTGACCAGTTCTTACCTGCTCTGCACCACCCATTGACTAAACTGGTACATAACAACAGACAACATTTGATCCGAATTATGCTCTGTTTCACCTATACTTTGTTTAATTCGATTTTGCAAACCTCCAGTGAATGATTATGTAACAGTAGTGAAGAAGACGACTTGTGATTTGTTTCACCAGTTCGGACAAGGTAGTAAGTTTTGTTCACCAGAGAAGAAAGGTAGCTGAGAATCTCCGACTTCCCTCCTGTTTCCTTATGTTTTTGAATCCCAAGCAGATCCCTCGCCATATCCTGCTTCATCCATCGAGTTTCAGGTGGAGATTTTCCTGCGAAATCATAGGGCAACAACCCCTCTTGTTTTCCCTTTTTTTTTCACTGATTCCCCAGAAAGCCAAAACAAAACCCCTCACCTGCTGCTACTGATTGTGTCGCCCCGTCAGACCACCTTTCCCCTCCCATTTCGCATTCCTTTCCGAGGCAGAAAGAGAGTAGCCTCGCTGCTTCGTCCCTTCTCTTTTCTTCGGACCAACTGAGCAATGGAGGTGCTCCCTCCTCTTTACGATTAAATCCCTCAACGAATCCATCTGATTGGGCCTCTGGTTTCCTCTTCCCTCTTGCACAAAAGATGAACCACCGGAGGCGCACAATTGTTTCGATCGTATTTATTTTTCGTTTTCATTTCCTTCCTTTGATTGATTTGGGGATGAGAGAGAGAGAGAGAGAGGTGTGGGACCCTTTTAATATTAAATATTCATATATTTTTTTAAATAAGGAAAAACTTCATAAATGGTCCCTATGGTATTGAAAAGAATATAAATTTTAAATCCATTTTTTATTTTATTAATTCTAGTATTAATTTATTTTTTAAGGAATTTCATCACTTAAAGCTTAAACTTTATGCACTAAATTACGGGTGCTCCAATATTAAGGCGGGTGGTTTAAAAGGAATACAATCTTAGGAGTTTTATGTTATAAAAAGGTCTCGTTGAAATCACACGGGAAGTTTTACAGGATAATTGTTAGACTAGCTATAACGTATGAATATGAATATTGATCGAGTAATAAGGAACGCGGAGGAAGATATAAGTAACAAAAATGGGGATGTTGATGTGCTTGTTGTAGAAACCTATTTAGACATAATTTCAAACGTACCTATCCGTAATTCATCGTGAGTGACACAGATGACCGAAAACTTATAAAAAGCTACCAACATCAACAATAAGGACGGAATCGGTAACAACTGATTAGAGGAGGAGAATCTCTGACACCAAATGATGACAAATCGACCACAACAATTTTGTGGTAAATAGAATACTACACCGTGGTATAAATCGACAATCTCTAAGATCAGATGTTAAGTCAAGTATTATGATAATGATTCAAAAAGAATAATCAACTATTTGAACAACCAAAAACAATGTAAAACAAGAAATAAAAAAAAGGATAAAATTACACCAATATTTTTATATAGAAACCCAACCGGAAAAAACTACGAGTAAAGATGCCGAAAATCACTTCACTATATCGATTTAGGTTAAATGCCTTTTGAAAAATAAGATGATGGATAACAAGAAAGATAATCCTCGATTTTTAGAGAAGACTTGGCATTAAAATATATATCAAAGCGAAAACTTAGGCATTAATGTTCATCTATAAGGAAATTCTTGTTAATTAAGCAAGGGTGATAAACTATTCAATAAGAAAAATGAAATAGCTTCCTTATTAAGAAAAATACTTTTGGTGTCACACTCTTTCAACATGGTATAGAACTATAGATGCAGTCGTTCTACCATCGATGGATGCATGAATGTCGACATCCTAATTCCTACCCTATTACAATGGAATTTTGGGACATCTTGTTTTTATTGTTATGATTTTCCAATTGTGGTTTTAGTCCTCTTTGGAGCTCCTTGTTAGTAAATAAACTCTCTGATCCTAAAGGAGTGGTCCTAAAGGAGTAAAGGACCAGTGAGTACCTAGGCTTCGGGATGTTGGGTGTGTGTCGATAAGAGTTGCCAAGGGATTCAACATTTTGGTGTTCGGACAAAATGATTGGACCGGACATTCACACAAAAAAAAAAAATTCACTTGTTTATCGGATAAAATTAAACGATTATTATGACTAAATATAAAATATACTTGACAGATGATTGCTATTTGGGAATATTTTCTGAGTATTTTATTTTATTAAAAAATATAATTTAAAATATTTTTATTATGTGTATTCTCCTTATAGTACGATTGGATCGCACAGTATCATTCATCCACATTGCACGTCGTATTGCAAGAACACGTGAGAACTTGCCTCCACGACTTTCTACGCGCACTGCGTACAAATACGCTAAAGCGTACCCATGCATCATTCATCGCACTCTCTCCTTTAAAACTTGTACGTTTCCTTTCCATAAATACCTCGATTTGAGAAATTTCAATCACAACTCCGTCAACGCAAACCCCTTTCGAATTCCACATATTTTCAAAACCCTCTCTCTATACATTTTTCGCAGTTTCCGGTGACCGTTCTTGTTAGTCGGCGTTTCTCCGTTGAACATTTCTGTTATCGAGGAAAACCCTCCGTTCCTCTTCTATCTGATATCTGATCTCATATCGAGTATTTACAATGTCGGTAAGCATCAATCGTATCGAAATATTAATGTACCTGTTATTCTTCGTTATTATCGACGATTTTGCTTGCTTATTTGCAGAGCTTAATCCATTATTTTAATTGATTTAGTGTAGATCTGTTTTTGTGAATTTGATTTTTTTTAGCATTTGAAATACTGTAGATTAGTCAACTACAAGTCAAGATGGTTGAGAACTGCAAATTTGAGTGTTGGCTGATTCAATAGATCTAAATTATTGCGATACTAGATAATCAACAAAGCATCTTTCCGTTCTCTTCGACTCTTTGGTGATTTTTGTGTGTTACACATGTATTACTGGCTTTTCCTTTCTCAGAATAAATAACTACGGAAACTTAATGATTTCAAATTGGTCCAAATCGCGATTGATGTATTTGCTTACCACAAAGATCTAATTTAACGGTTATCATTACGCATATTACATGTTATGATTGAGATGATTTATATGACAGAGGCATGTCCATTTAAATACTGTTTAACAACTCCAGTTTGATCTAGGAAAAACTGATGATATAGAATTATAGATGAAAGTCTATGGAAATTGATCTAGAAAAAACTGATGATATAGAATTATAGATGAAAGTCTATGGAAATTGATCTAGAAAAGCATAATAGATCAGAGCATTGGAACATCTTGAACAAGCGTATAAGTATACTATTCTGGATATGTGCTGGGAAATGTTTGTTTTTTTACTTGTTTATGTGTAGCTATATAACATCTTTCACCATTGATGCATCAGGTTAAATCTGTTAAAGTTAGCAATCTTTCACTAGGTGCTTCTGAGCGAGATGTAAGGGAGTTCTTCTCCTTTTCTGGAGATATTGTATATGTTGAGACAAAAAGGTTAGTAAACTAAATGACTTTAAACTTCCCTTTTTCCTTTTCTTACAAGTTACAACTAAAACCAATTTAATCCTCTGATTGCAGTGATACCGAGCGCTCCCAAATTGCATATGTCACCTTCACAGATTCTCAAGGAGCTGAAACCGCTGTTCTTCTTTCTGTAATTCACTTCTCTCTTTACATCTACTCAATGTTTATACATAATACACCTTCCACATGTGATTGATCCATTTGTGTTGTATGAATCAGGGTGCAACAATAGTCGATACAACTGTCACTGTAACTCTAGACCCAGAATACCAGCTTCCACCTGCTGCAACTGCTGCTTCTCCAGTAAGACTAATTTCACAACCACTTTTCCACCATTAAAATATTTTTCACCCTTAGAGTCTTGGAAACTTTCTTGTAGCCATATGGAAGCAATGCTCCTGTTAGAACCGATTCTGCTTTACGAAAAGCCGAAGATGTTGTCACCAGCATGTTTGCAAAGGGTTTCGTGTTGGGTAAAGATGCTGTTGGAAAAGCAAAAACCTTTGATGAGAAACACGGTTTGACATCTACAGCATCTGCTAAAGTAGCCTCATTGGACAAGAAGATTGGGTTCACTGAGAAAGTGAATGTTGGGACTTCTATTGTGAGTGATAAAGTGAAGGAAGTTGATCAGAAGCTTCAGGTTTCTGAGAAGGCTAAATCAGCCTTCACAGCTGCTGAGAACACAGTAACTAATGCTGGATCTGCTATAATGAAGAACAGGTATGTGTTTACTAGTGCTTCATGGGTGACTGGTGCTTTTAATAAAGTGGCAAAAGCTGCTGGGGAAGTAGGGCAGCAGACTAAAGAGAAAGTAGAAAAGGCTGAAGATGAGAAAAGAAAAAAAATGGTGGATGATTATGCTGAGGTTCATTTGTCTGAGTCACCAACTGCTCCGGATGTGAGTGAACAGCAGCATCATCCTTCAAAGCCTGCACCTGTGACAGGTTTGGTTCTGTAGGTGCCCGTTTTATATATACATATTTTTATTGGGAATTGGGAATTGGATTTTGTATGGGAAATCGAGTGTTTCACCCATTGTCGTGTGGTGATGATACAACTTTTACATCATTAGATTGTTGCGAGACTTCATTTTTATATCATCATTCGTCGTGAATTTGAATATATCTAAATTTGAAACAGTTTGGTGATTAAAGTTTTTTTAGCTTTTAAAGGCATGGACTTGTTTTTTTTCTTATCAAGTTATGGGTAAAGTGGCTAAATGCTTAATGATGGTTGTCTTTATTAAGCAATGTATATATCAGGTGCAATGTATATTTTCTAGACTAAATAAACTACCTGAATAAGACTAAGACTTTATTTAGCAAACTAGCTGAAAATCTAGTTTTTGGCTAATAAGTTAGTTGATTGCAGAGAAGCTAGATAAAAAAAAAAAAAAAAAGTAATAACGTTAGGTAAAAAAATATTGATAATTTAGATGACAAATATAAAATGACATAAAAGAATATTTCAATATATAACTAAAAGCTATGGTAAATTTGGAAAACTGTGGAAAAAGCCTAACGAGCTTATCAAAAGCTATCTACAAAACATTACTTCGCAATAAGCTTAAAAAAATAAGTTATTTTAAACAAACAATGTGAACAAATTTCACAATATTTATCAATTATAACATGAGAGAAGTTGGGAGGAAAAATAAGATGGGCAAATAGTTAAAGGGTTGATGTGTTAATACATTAAGCCATGGTTTAATCTTCTAAATTATTATCTTTTGATTAAGTCAAAAGGAAGCATCTATAAATGTCCAATTTACGTGTTTGACTCGTTAAGCAAATTAAGTTAAAAGAAAATGTCCCTTGGTTGAGAGATTTTGGGTGAGTTTGTTTCTTTTAGGCAACTTTAGAGAAAGTGTTGTACTGTGAGCGTGACTTTTGGGGTAAACTTCTCTCGTTCACATGAATTGCGAATGGCTTTGATATTGATGTGAGATCCCCTTTGCTGGCACAAAATTGGGTACAAAACAAAAGCGTAACTTATAACATGTTCTCATCTTATCATATTGTGGATCGAGCTTTACCATGTTATGGCAATTGCTTTAACCGACTACTTTTGTATTTGGATATAGTGATTTTGTAATTGTAATTTTAAGAGTAAATTACACGAATGGTCCCTATGGTTTAGGGTAACTTATGCGTTTGGTCCCTAACTTATTTTTTTAACTCGGAAGGTCACTACTGTTTGTTTTTGTTACGCGTTTGGTCCCTGTCTTACCTAAAAAGACTATTTTGCCCTTGATTTTTTAATTTATTTAAATAAACACACCCTCAACCCCATCCCCATTACCTTACCTTACCTACCCCATCATTTTTTCCTATTTAAATAATAGTCTTTTTAGGTAAGACATGGACCAAACGTGTAACAAAAACAAATAGTAGGGACCAGACGCATGACAAAAACAAACAGTAGGGACCTTCCGAGTTAAAAAAATAAGTTAGGGACCAAACGCGTAAATTACCCCAAACCATAGGGACCATTCGTGTAATTTACTCTAATTTTAATGACTTGGAATAACAAAAGGAAATAGTTATCCCCAATGACAAAAGTATATTCTTAGGTTGTTAATTGCATTGTCTTAACTTTTTAAAACAAATACTTGATGAAACTTAAATGTTTTTTCTAGTAATCACATTTTTTATAAACTAAAAAACATTTTAAAAATCTAATTACCAGGCTAGTGTTCGATTGGTCCAAGTTTGGCTTGTGAGTTTGTCACGAGAGTTAAGACGTGGTCTAACTTTTATTGTGTTGGAAGACTTGTACTTGTAGGTGATAAATGAGTTGAATAATGTGTCAAAATAGATTATTTATATATAATGAGATTTTCTTTATACACATCAACCTATCTCACACACCAATCTAACATAGCTTACTCTACCACACACAAGTCTAATTTAGATTATAGAGTTTTTTTTAATTACACCATCGTTACACAATAATCTAGACTATTGACTAAATTTGATAGGGAGTGCTTGAAACCTCTGGGCTTTTTTTTTTTCAATTCGAATTCTTTTTTTTTTGTGTGTTCATAATTTACACATTTTTTTAATATCATAAAATCGATGCATCTGCCGCTTTTTTAATACCCACCTTTTTAACCCACTATTTTTATTTGTAACGTCCAACCTTTATAAGTATATTTTATATAAATATTAAATATGTTATACTTTATAATATATTTTAACTCTAATACAATTTATAATTAAAGCTTGAATTATAATGTAACAAAAAATCATAAATTTTAAAAGCCATAAGTTTTTATTCTTTCGACTAATATACAATTATATGCAGTAAATAAAATGTAATATTTGTACAACTTTTATCGTAATATTTAAAATAAAAAAATTGAGAGATTGAAGAGAACTAAATTTATAGTTTTGACTTTTGACTAAATTTTATTGGGAGCTGCCACCTCCGGCGACCACTATCATCATTTACTGTCGGTGACTTAACATCGCCACTAACCACTGCCGTGACCAACTCCGACAACTTATCTCTGGCCACCATGTCGAAAATAACAAGAGAGAGAGAGAGAGGCGATGGTTCTTAAGCGGCAAACGATGGTTCTTGGGTGGCAGAAGATGGTTCTTGGCCGACCGACAATGGTGGTATTCGTAGGGGGTGATCGCCAGTGTTTTTATTGTAAGCTGACGACAGAATGTTTGACGGTGGCTGTTAAGATATTAGGATTTTCTAGGGTTTTATTTTTCTTTTATAAATAGGTAATGACCTAACAAAATATGGGCTTTAGAGCTAACAAAATATGCGCTTTTTATTTAAACGAAATTAGTCTTTTTTTTTTTTAATTTATTAAATTTATTTAAATTAGTTTTTTAGTTTAGTATTAAAAAAATTATTTTCTATATTTGTAATTTTAAAACTTTATACAAAAATAATTTTAATAATTTACATACAAAAAATATAAAAAATATATATAAACGTTTTGTTTAACATATTTTATGTTATAGGTTTGAAAAGATAAAAAAAAAATATTTTTATTAGTAAAATAATTAATTTTTTTTGGTTATAATGAAGTTAGTAAAATAATAATGTAATAATTAAATAAAAAGTTAATGTAATAATTATGTTATAATATAGTAATGATAAAAATAAATCAAACGATTAGGCTAGATAATAAAAAAGATAGACTATTAGGGTGGGGTGGCAAAAAAGTAAACCTAATGATATAGGCTAGTGTTGTAGATTGGTGTGTCCAAAGTAGGACCCATATATAATTTGGGTTATGATGGGTTCATACAATGTTCTAAAAAGCTCGTCATGGCTCCGTCATGGCTCCAAGGCTTGTACTTGCCGCCAAACTTTGACAAAATGTCGCCTTAAGTCATATATGTATATAAAAATGAATAATAGTAGAAAATACATATAAGATTATTAATTATATACAAAATTGTCGCCTTAAGTCACGCTTTACAAACAACATGACTCGCCACGACTCAAAAAAGCTTGAGGCTTGACATTGCCGCCACGTCACGCCTTACGTTATTTAGAACATTGGTTCATACTTCACCATAGGGTTAGGCATTGGTGGATACCCGATTAGAATGTGGGGTCTGCTGCCGAAATTGATATTGAAACAAGTTTTAAAAATTTCTAACGCAATATTCAAGTATTTGTCCAACATTGATTTCATATACCAAAAAAGACGTCTTGAACCAACAAACACATATGAAGAGTAAGCCAGATGCTAATCTAAGTGCATGAAACTATAGATATTTGAATTAGAGAAAAATAGAAGCCTTGTATGGTGTACAATATGGCTTTTAAATTCTTAAGTTTGTTTTTATGGGTTCAATAAACAAGAAGTTATAAAACTCTATCTAACATGACAATTGACATACATATACGCTAGTGAAACAAAAGACAACTATAAAAACACTAGGTGCTCGGTGAGATCAGTTCTTTGTACCTAGTTTTAAAACCGGTTCCACCGCTGTACAATATGTCGTAAACTTGAATTAGAGATGTTTCTTATTCTAGTATTTATCCTAAGCCGTTGCTTTCATAAGTGTTGGATCGTCAAAATGGTTGGGCTAAAAAAGGTTGGATTGTCAAATCGTTAGACTTTTGATCCACTACTTTTACCTTAGGCCATTTTGTATACTCCACAATGTGCTTACCTCCAACTCAATATCACATTAGTTTCATTATATTTTTATCCACCTTAAAAAATTCTCCACGTCACCACTTTTTATATAAATAAAATTGAAGAGGAATAAAAGAGAGAAAGAGACAAAGACGAAGAGAGAGATTGTGGTATCCGTGGAGCTACTCACTTCACACCACCATACCAATGTCATTACTCTTGTTTGAGATGGTGTTCATGATTGCCATATAAGGCATAAGGTTCTCACTTCACATACATACTGTATGACCTTATGGTTTGTAGAGTTTAATTTTTTTAACAAAATTTATTTTGTAAATAATTATATTTGTTTTATACGAGAAAAAAAAATCATCAAAATGCATAATTATTTTTCTCTACGTATAGATAACGATATTAACATATTTTAATATAAAAATTGGTACTTAAAATGATTTAAACTACAATTTTTTTTTTCTTGTTAAAGGTTGCATTTTTTTTTTTGAAAACTGCATTAAAAAAAGAATATTATGACAACATGATAGCCTTCCAACCATAAAAGTTGCATTTTTGTTGAAAACTGCATTAAAAAATATATATATTATGACAACATGATAGTCTTCCAACCATAACTCTAACACAAAAATCAGGATTAAGCTAAGCTGGTTCGATGCTCCACAAAAAGATGACTCAATGCCTATAAGTTTTATGTCTGCATTTTCCCCGATCTATAGCCACACTACCAATGTCTTCATCAATAACGTCAATTCTGATGCTATTTTAATCTTTTGAACTTAACTCGAAAAGAAAACTCAATTGCCTACAACTTTTGCTTTTACGTTTCTTTCAATTTCTTACCATTTTCCCCAAAATTTAGAAAAATATTATTGAAAAAGTGTATTATTTAGAAGAAAAAATGAATCTTTTGATGCATAGACGAATAATCGCAAATTATTGATATATTGTTTTCGAATCATATAATAATAACTAAACAAACAATCACTACAACCATATATTAGTATTATAACTTACTTTTATTATTATAATCTTCAATAATTTTATTTTCTTAACAGAAAATCTAAATTCAGTTAAATTATTAATTCTATTTTAAGGTTTCATGGTATTTGTCATTATTATTATTATTTTTTAATAATTTTAACTAAATAATGTATAATTATTTTAGCTTTTTGAAATACATTTAACATGTAGTTTAAACAAAATGAAATATATGTGAACGATTACTAGTTTCTTGTCATTATTTAAGAAAAAACATTCTTTTGTTATTTTTATTTAAATAAATAAAAATAATGGTTTCTTTCTTCGGAGGAATAAAGTGATATGTTAAAATTATAACTTACTTTTACTTATATAATCTTCAAAAATATTAATCATTAAAACAATTAGAATTCAATTAATAATTTTATTTTAAGATTTCATATATATATATATATTATATATATATATATATATATATATATATATATATATTATATATATATATATATATATAATATGGGGATATGAAATATACATTACAGCGCCACCTAAACTTAGGTACTAAACCTCTAAAATATTTCGTTTTAACTTAGTAATTATACTCGATTTGGTTTTCACTTTGTAAATATATCATCCCCAATAATATTTCTTTCCTACACTATTGTTTACCATCCCTGCTTTTTTTCCTCCATTATCGTTTATTATTTCACCTCAGTGAACAATATTGTTTTCCACTGTCACAAAGGTCGATGATAATCAATGTTTTTGTTTCCTTATCAAAACTATTGCGTAGATTATGAATCCACATCTTCAAGTGTTAATCGTAAATCTCCTAATCACAATCTTTATATAATAAAACAACGTATTTTCATAAGGTTTAGAGAAATTTGACAATTATGCCCTTAAGTGTATTTTTCAAATGCAGAATTTTAGTAAGCCATTATACCAAACCAAGAACCACGCAAACGCAACTGCAGTTCTTCTCCGACACTATACACAAACCAACTGACCTTAATCACCTCTTTCCCTCACGGGTCTTACTCGAGCGATGCCAAAAATCCTAACCAATTTCATTAGATTATTCTAAGATGATTGATAAATTTATTGTGGTTTCCTCTTTTATATAAATTCACACCACTCCCCAACTCTAACCATTGCTTGAATCAGAACTTTTGTTCCTCTCCTTTCACTAGAAACATCACTTACACGCACCGGGAAGCCCAACTACCTAAGGATGAGCTTGTGAGTAGTGATGGATGATTGCAAGGAGTGTGGCTACTTTGAACATTCCTTTGCAAAGTCTTCTGCAATTAATCTAGAGCCAGCTTGAGGAATTAGAAATCATCGACAAAATAATTTTAGGATTAGGATTAGCAAATCAGGCTAAACGAGAGGAAACCAATACTTTATGTCAGTGTTCTTAGCCCTTGTTCATACAATTTCTCCACCACACTGATATGTTCCTTTGTGGATTCCATTACGGGATGTGAAGAAGTGGGAGATAGCAGGTGGTGGTCGGCACTAGTAAAGGCAGAAGAAGTTGGATATGGGGTTAATTTGGATGGGAGATTGAGAGCAAAAGAATTAAGGAAGGAGTTTGCATTTGAGTAACAACTAGTGGAAGGTCTCGTGGCTACGCCACTTTTGGTGTAAGACTTTATTGTTCGATGTTACTTGAAGTAGGTTACATTGGTGCGAACTTTGTATACACTATGCAATATGTTAGTTCTTCATTGGAAACTTTGAATTTGAGGTTAAATGATGGATGTTTCACACCGTATGAACTATGGTTTATTTCATGACATTTACAAACGCTATAGAAATTGTATACAACCATTATTTATAATATTGTTTTTACAAGGAAACATATCTACATAAGCAAAAGTTGATCTACAAAGTTGGTCGTCAGTCATGACGGATGAAGTCACTTTAGAAATGGACGGAAAATATAAACAAAGGAAATAGAATAAAAAAAACCCGTTAGTGAGGAAAGTACAAATAAGAAGACTCTAGGGGCAAAATCATGAAAAGCAAAAATTCCCTGTCCATCCTTGCCATCAGCTTTTATATATAAGGATAATTACCGTTTAAATATAAATAAAGGTATAATTGTCAATTTCATTAAAAAAAAGGGTTAATGTCATAAAAACCCTCAAGTTTTTAGGGTTTTGTCGGTTTTGCCCAAAGTTGAATTTTATGTCCGTTTTTACCCTAACATTTTCGAAAAAATGTTCGGTTTTACCCTTTTACCGGTGATAACAGGTTTTCCAGGTTACCATTATATTAAATTCGCAAAAAAAACTCTTAAATTTACCCTTTTTTTTTTTGCATTTTTACCCTTAAGTTGATAATTTTTTTTACACTTTTACCCTAAGTATTTTTTTTTTCATAATATACGTATTCATGCAGAAAAATCGTATTTATATATGAAAAAATGTCTAATTAAATATTGTATTTATATTTTTTTTAATGTTATATATATATATATATATATATATATATATATATATATATATATATATATATGTATTTGTTTGTTTGTGTGTGTGTGTTTTTGCAAGGTTATACCATTTAAAAGATAAATAATATTTTTAGAATTATGAATACGTGTTTTATAGATATAGTTTTTAGAAGTATAAATACATATTTTTACATTTTTATATATTAATATGTATCTATATTTCTAAAAATATATTTATACTTAAAAAAACATATATCAAAATACATATTTACACTTCTAAAAATATATGTATATACTTATATAAACATGTTTATGATTGAACAAGTTTTTTTAATTGATATGTATATTTTTAAATACATAAAAATACGTATTTATAGTTCTAAAAACATATTAATTTGTTTTTTTTACATATTAAATGGTTTATCTAGGAAAAAAACCCATATACACACATACACACACACACACAATATCTATATATATATATATATAGATATATTCTATATATATATATATATATAATATTACAAAAATGTAAATACAATATTTAATTAAATTTTTTTCGTATATAAATATGATTTTTCTGCATGAATACGTATAATATGAAAAAAAAAATACATGGGGTAAAAGTGTAAAAAAAATTATAAACTTAAGGGTAAAAACGTAAAAAAAAACTATAAACTTAAGGGTTTTTTCGAAGTTAATATAATGGTAACCTGCTATCACCGGTAAAAGGGTAAAACCGAACATTTTTTGGAAAATGTTAGGGTAAAAACGGACATAAAATTCAACTTTGGGCAAAACCGACAAAACCTTGAAAACTTGAGGGTTTTTATGACATTAGCCTTAAAAAAAAATTAGTGGGTTATCAAAAATTATCCGTATCAGTTCCCTTCTTTTTATCCGGTAAATAATTACCAATTTTTGTTTATTTATTAGTTTATAACTCGTGGGAACCACGTGTTATAAAATTAATTAAATTTTCATAATAAAAATTTATAATTATTAATCAATTATTTTAAATAAATTATTTTAAATAAATTATTAATTAAGAGATATATCAAAATTTTAAATTTATTAACATTAAATTTAACATATAATTAGAAAATGTAAATTTGAATTTTGAAATGAGTTGTCTAATATATCTAAATGACACATGACATAATATTAATGAGGAGTTGTATTAGAGTGACACTTGTCAAAATGAGATTAAAACTATTCATTTATTAGAATAGGGACATTTAAATTTTTTTTTTTTTTTTGTTGTTGTAAAAAATAAATGGTTTTTTCATACGTTTCGGGATTTACTGTGATTTCCATTTCAACAAAATCCAAAACACAACCAAATATACCCGGTGACAATCAAATTCTGATTTGAGTGTTTAGGTGGTTAATCCGTCAATATTTTGGTTATTCCTGATTTGGGTTTTCGTCAAACTCCGAGAGCATTTGGTCTTCAACGAATACAAGAAGAACGTTTTGCAGAAGGGCATGATCTGAGCATTCAACAAAAGCCCTAATTTACATTTGTCGATAATCGAGTAAGTTTCTGTTATTGACTCCTCTATTTTCCGTTAGTTTCTAGAGTCATAAAGTCTCTGTCTCCTGTTATATAATGAAAATAGTTCATCACTTGATTATTGGCTATAATATTTCCTGATCGATTCCTAAAATGTTATGTAAAGTTGTTGGGATTGTTTAAAGAGGAATTTAGTTACAAGTTAGTATCAGTACTTCAATAACAATGAAAAGTTCATCAATCGTTTAGATGGATTGAATTCCATCGCTCGATTATTCATTTTAACCTAATTTCGTGATAATCTCATTGCTCTTGTTATCATCATAATCTTCATCCTGATCAACCTACTTTTCCATTCAGTCATTTTTTATTTCATCTCAAATCATGTCAGATTATGTTAATTCGTCTTCTTCAGATCCTTCATTCGATCATTCTCATCCTTTATATAGTGGGTTCCAAACAATTTGGTGGATCAGGATTTAGGGCATGGAAGATAGCCATGAGTATTGCACTGCACTCTATGTTAGGAACAAGTTAAGCTTCATTAATGGCGGATCTGTTAGACCTACATCCATATCTCCTTTGTTTGACCTTTGGCAACTATGCAATGACATGGTTCTCTCATGGATTTTAAATGCTTTGCTTTGTCCAGAGACATTGGTGAAAGTGTTTTGTATATTGAAACATCATAGGAGCTTTGGTCAAGCAAATGGAGCAACGCTTTATCAACTTGAAGCAATTAGTTGGTTTTCCTCATACAAACGTTCATGAAATCATATGTTGTGATATTTATCCTCAAGCGAAATATCTTCCTCATAGCCATAACTCATATATTTTTTTGAAATCATTCACCATTGATATATGTGGATCTTATTGAATTTCCACATACAATGGCTTTAATTACATCCTCACTATCGTGGATGATTTTAGTCAAACCACTTTGACTCATCTTTTATCTACAAACATCAATGCTTTTCCTGATATTCAAGGCTTTATTGAGATTGTTGAAACTCAATATCATACAAAGGTCAAATCTATCCTGTCCAACAATGTTGTAATGTGAAGAAATGAAAGTAGATAAGAGGGTCTTTATTGTTAATACTTAACGTTTACAGAAATGGTTGTAGGATAGGATTTACAGTAAAACTACTACAAATGGAATTGGCAGACAGGGCGGTTGGGTTCATTTTAGCAAGCATCAGTGTGACTGTTTTCACGTATTACTCCTTTTGGGTGATTGTATTGGTTAGTTTTGCTCAAATTTGTTAATTTCTTCATTTTCTCTATTTACTTCAAATTTAAAATTACCATATGATTTTAAGGTCTTACTTATTATTATATTATGGGTCTTTCAGCCTTTTGTAGACTCGGACCACTTTGTACACAGTTACTTCTTACCCCAAGAATATGCAATCCTGCTACCTGTGTATGCTGGTGTCTCTCTCATTTGCTTCTTATCTGTCTTTATTGGATATGTCATGCTTAAATCCAACTCCAAGAAGAAGAAAGCCTAGGTTAAGTTTTGCTCTCTCCAGGTGTTTTATGGATCTAGTCTTATTGTTCTAGTTTTTATCATCTTTTATATTTGCAGAGGAAATATGACATGTTTAGAAAAAATATAAATATATGTGTGATCTCTCTAAATACTAAATGTAATTTCTATCCATTTTTTTAGACGGGGTATTCACTTGCCAAAAGCATTGTGGTTTTAATTTGAAATTTAAAATTATAACGTTATTTATGCTAAAAACGGATACAAGGGAAATATTGAAACACAATTGTTATCGGAAAAAAGGCCACTAAAAGTAATTTGGAATCTTATACGTGACTGAGTTAGACCAGTTTCCTAAGGCAATTCTTGAATGATAATGATGAAGGCTTTCATGATTCATGTCAACCAACCATATTTTTCTAATGCATATGAAAAGAATATTCACAATGGTATATAATTCAAGCTAAATGCAACACAAGACCATCCTTTTCATCATGATGCAACAAAATCAAACATAAAGGAGCAGATTTCCCCTTGCTCCATGTTTTGTTTTCACCTCTTGTTCAATTCAAACCTCTTATGGGTTTCGATTCAAACCTCTTATGGGTTTCAATTCAAGGACCGACAAATGTTTGGGTTGCTTGAGGTATCGACTCATCGATCTGAAGAAGGTTTGATTAGAAAACAAACGTTTGTTTCAGTTATTTAAATGTGTGGAATCAAAAGAGTTATTACTATAAATCATTATCATTCAAGGCTGAAAATTCAACTTGCCTTCTTTATGTCAAAGAGTTTTAAGTATTTTGACCTCTTCCATGACATTTTATAACTAGAAAGCATCCTTCATATAAAACAATAAAACATTACGAATATCAGACAAATTGAGTAAATACTTGGCTGATCCCGTGATCCGCTTACCAAGCCTCTGAAGAGAGACTTGGTTAGAACTACCACATGAGACATTAGTCTGAAACCACAACATAATCAATTAGCAATGGGAACACAACTTCAATTTAGTGTTTCTATCTCTCAGGTTTAATATGTAATAACAAGTACTTAAACAAATAAAAGGTACTATCAAAATAATATGTGGTCAAGAATGATGTTGAGTTCATACTCTTAACAAAGTTTTGGAGGCTGTCTTAGCAACATAGCAACAACGATGTAAGACTTTGTCTATATAATCTATAGTGTCACCTCAAATGAAGAGCAACAAACTTTGTCTAATCTATATTGTCTGGATGAAATGAAAACTTTTTAACGTGACAAGGAATTGTTGGAATTGATGTGGGATGAGAAGGTTGAACTTTGTTCATTCCTTTGTCCCGCATATGGGAAAAAGAAACCAAATTTGGGTTTATAAGGAACTTTTCCTCCTTACCACATAAGACAAACAGGTGGGGTTAAAAGAGGGTGCAACCCACATGTGCCCTTAGACGTGCTTGTTAACAAACAACCGGAAAGATGTGGGGTTCACCAAGTGATGAGTTGTAGGCGCATTTGGCACTTCAGACATAGACAATGAGCTAAGGTGCTTTTTATTTTTACGAGTAAATATTTGAATCAAGTCAGGTTGACCTAGGATTACGATCCAACAATCAAACTAATTCACCATATTGAATTATATCTCCCTACTTTTTTTGCTAATATTGTTAGGGTTTTGACTGTATAAATACAACCTTACGTGTTGTATTTTAATCACATTGAAGTCTGAAAATTATATCTTCTCTTCTCTTTTCTCTCTCTCTCTCTCTCTCTCTCTCTCTCTCTCCCTCCCTCCCTCCCTCCCTCCTCCCTCTCTCTCTCTCTCTCTCACACACACCTATTGGAACCAATGAATTTTCTACATTAAAATCTAGGTTTTACACGTGACACTCACAACAAATAAGCAAAGTACAAACATTGAAGGACAAGATTCCAAATTCATAATGATCATTACTTTGATGGAAAATCATCAAAGATGTTGGTTTTAATTAATATTGTATAATATTTCAATTTGTCGGATAACGAGACAATCTTAATCTATTTCTTATTAGTAAAATCTCAAAGGATAAATTTATTTTGCATTTAGAACTATTTTTTTTCCATTTATAACATTTAATATAAAAATGTTTATTATTATTATTATTATTTGATTAACAATTAACTTTACAAGATTAATTAATACTTTCAAAACATCATTCAGTTCGATTAAGATTCAATTAAGGGTGGAAATTTTTAATATACGGGTTGAGTCATATATACATAATCCGTTTATTATATGAGTTGTGTTCGGATTGACAAATAGGTTTGCGAGACCAATAATTATGTGTTAGTATAATTAATTAAACATGATAGACGGTCGTCAGGGACGTAATCAATATAGGGCAAGAGTGGGCCTTGGCCCACCCACACAAAATTTAAGTTACATATATATGGTATGTATAATATATATTTTTGTTAAATAAAATGAATTAGGGTTGTGATGTTGCCTATTCCATTCAAAACTTGAAATTAGTAGAAGAGAATACATTGTTGTCTATGTCGATTAAACTTCATTTTAGATTATTTTAATGATGTAAAACAAAATTGTGTGCAACTTACATAAACAATTTAGCTAAGAATATATATATATATATATATATATATATATATTATATATATCTATATATAATAGTTTACATAAACAATTTAGCTAAGAATACATATATAGTTACATTTTGTCACTCGTTTATATTTGACCTACCTTAAAATAAAATTCTGGCTACGCCGCTAACGGTCGTGTATGCCCTAAGCAGATACATGTTAAGGAGGTTAAGATTGAAGAATTAAACATGAATGATTATATGGTCATATGTTGAGTTTTTGACCCACCAACCCTACATTTATTATTCAAATTTCAGAATACAACTTGCCTTTCTTTCAAGACTTCTATTAATAATTTGACTCCGTACTATATATGACATTTGTAAAAACTTAAAAGCATCTGGCACAACTTTTTCATATAAAACATTACAAAAACTGTAAACGAATAGATCAGTACTCTTTTATCTCAAAAAGACAGACGGGTAAAACCATGCATGACGGGGAAGTGGAATCTGACATTAATTTGGTTCCAAAAGTAGCTATATATGAATGAATGATGCTTATTAGCAACAAAACAAAACAATGCAAGCAAGGAACTCGAGCCAAACATGTACAGATTATTTGAATTTACCCCATCATATCATTGACTTCACCATATCTTTATATCTTCATCTCTGCACACTCTTCTTAGTTCTTATCCACGATAAGTGGCCTACTCATGAAACAAACAATCACGAACCATATTCACAATGCATGCTTTATGATGTGTATGAAAGTTGAAGAGCCTTTAATCACCGATATGGAGATTCTAGCCCCTTTGTCAATAAGCTACAACGATCATCTAACAACCAATTACAAAATTAAAACCATTCAGTTTTATATTGTTTACTCATTAAGTTCACTTCCTAATTACTTTTGTCTTCGATTTTTCAATAAGTGGATATATCTTTGGGTTGAGAAACATACAAGTTACAAATCATTCATGTTTATAAACTGATATAAAACAATTCAGATGCTCATGACTCAAACCCTTCGACCTTGGGACTACTAATCTGACTTCATTGATGATAACAAATCTGAACACAAGATGAAGAAAACAACACCTACCCAACAGACAGAAAATTTTACCTGAAAAGAAAAATAAGGGAAACCCATGGCCGGAATGATGATGTTTCAGGAAAAAGAATTATCAAAAGCGGCTGAAGTGATTGCCCGAGAGAACTCCTGGAAGTTGATCCGTCCATCGCCGTCAGTATCTGCTTCTTTAATCATCCCCGTCAGCTCCTCCGCCGTCAACGCATGTCCCAGCTTCGCCATAGAGTGAGCCAGCTCTGCCGCCGTGATATACCCGTTGCCGTCGCGATCAAACATCTTAAACAACTGCTTCATTTGGTCGTCTGTGTAGGGAGACTTCGCCGGAAGAAGCTCCGGCGCCACCAGCGCTACGAACTCCGAGAACTCCACCAAACCGTTGCTGTTGGTATCGGCTTTCTGTATTAATGCATCGAGCTGGTCAGGGCTTGGTGTAAGACCTAACGATCGTAACAACGAACCCAATTCGAGTTGTGTGAGGCTGCCGTCGTTGTTTCTGTCAAACGATCGGAATATTTCCCGGAGCTCTCCCAGTTGTTCGTCGTCCAGTTTCACGGCCCTCCTTGTCACTGCTCATTTCCGTCGTGTCTGAAAAACAATCTAAAATTTCATGGCAAACAGATCTATACAGATTAAAGATGATGAAGGTGGAGATAGGTATTCGAAGAAAGAATTGATCCAACAAACATTCCACGAAGCGATTACGATTACTCAGATGAGATGAGTCTGTATCTGGCTATCTGCAATTCTGCATTGGATTTTGGATTTTGGAATTGGTAGTTAACCTCTCCACATTTAATGGATCGATTGAATTGTGGACACGACCATCGGTTGACGTATTTTTGTTAAACAAAATCAATTTTAATATTAATTAATAATAAGTCTGTTGATATAGTTATTAATTTTAAATTTTTGTTGGAACTAATAAAA